CTGTTCCGGCGACATCCACGCACACCCGCGAGCTGTGATACCCGTCGTTTAGATCACTAACCGTGGACACGTAACGGGAAAACAGGTTCAAAGTGGGTTCAAACATGAATGTGTGGCCGCCAAACATTTGAAGTTTGAGAGGGCGCTAGACAAATGTGGGCACACCGCTCAAGTAAAGAATTGACCGAAACCGGAAACCGCGCATAAAAAGTCTCTGGTATCCAGGTTAGCGATTGTCTAACAGATTGAAGCATCTGACCTGATTTGTGTTCGCAAGGCGAAATATTCATCGCAAGTATTAGGCGTTAAGAAGAAGTAATGAAGTGTGAAACTCTCAAGAATAATTCTTAAAAGTAAATGTACTGTTTCTGAAAGAAGAACATTCCTGGAAAAAGAGGAAAAATATCTTGCACATAAACAATTGAAGCCAGCCACCTATTCTCACTGGGGCCATCTCGTACAAACGCCCCAAATCCCTTCGGGATTCAAGGATAAAAATTCCCGCGCGCTCGTAGTCTTCTGGGTGTTCTGTTTCACACAGGTTTTGTATAAATAGGTCTGTTTTGGCCTGTTTAATTGTCTTTTCGTTAAACGTTCGCCAGTCGTTGGCTTGGCGTTCTTTTTCTCTTGCCCGGTCATCGCTGCGCCATCTTCGAAGATTCTCTTCGTTCGTCGTTCTCCATGTCGGACCAAGTCCCTGTTGTTCCTGCGGATGGGTCTGTTGCAGCGGCCGTTGACCCTCCAGTTGTCGCGCCTCCGGCTCCAGCCGACGCTGCCGGTGACAACAACGCACAGAACGCTAACGACAACGTGGTTCCTGCGCTCCAACCTGCGGCTCATGAGGTTGGTGTTTTCTCTTGTCCTTGTATTCGTTTTCCTCTGCGCGTTTTTCGGGCTAGGCGTTGTTGGTCTTTTAGCTTGGTTCTCGCTTCCGTGTTTTTAGTTTTAGTTTTCGCGTTTGTGCTACTAGTTTAGTTTTCGCATCTGTGTACAAGTTTACAGTTTTCCCATCTGGGTTACTATTTTATTTTCGCGTCTGTGTTACAACTTTTAGTTTTGGCGTCTGTGTGCAAATTTAGTTTTCGCGTCTGTGTACTACTTTAGTTTTCCGTCTGTGTGGCAAGTTTAGTTTTCGCGTCTGTGTTACCAATTTAGTTTTCGCATCTTTGTTTCAACTTAGTTTTCCGTCCGTGTGACAACTGAAGTTTTCCGTCTGTGTGGCAAGTCTGTTTGACATATTTAATTTTCGCGTCTGTGTGACAAATTTAGTTTGCCGTCCCAGAGAGATTTCTGCTAAAGCTGTGTCAGCGAAACAGAAATTAAAAAAAGAATCGCCCTTCCTCTCTTGAATAGAGCTAACAGTACAGCAGGGAAATCCTTAACACACTGAATATTCTCTCAGGATTATTTAGAATTTACAGTTTGAAGAGAGCAATTTCTGGTTTGATATTTATTCTTTTATTAGTTTTTTATTATTCAACAAAAATAACACTTGGCGCCCTACTTGCTTGTTTGAACAAACGACCGGTTTCATAGACCGGCGAAATTTCTCATTTTATTAAAGCACTGAGGTTACAACAACCTCGAGTTAAACTGATTTCACGGGTTGTCAAAGAGTCCAGCGATTCCCTTTTCCCAGGTGAGCGCCGACTCATTTCGCTTCAATGTTCAGGAATGCTCTCGATCTCTTTATGCTTTCATTGCCTTTCGCCCGACATGTTTTGCACGGCGTTTAGTCATGCGAAACCTCCACGAAACATTCACGCAGCGCGCGAGGTAACTTTATCCCGATTCTAAAAATAACTCCAGACGAATTACCTATGGAATAGGGTGTATATGAGGGATGCCTTCTCTATCCCCTTTATCCTCTCTTGTATGAGATGATTGTGTAGCAAATATAGTACCCAGTCAGAGGGCATTATTGAGGTCATGTGATTATTTTTTTATTTTATTTTTATTAACTATGCCAAACAACAAGATATTCGACACAGAAAAAAAAGTGTACATGTATTCACAGGACTGAGTACAGGCGGGGACACCGCAACAGCGAACGCCAATTACTGCGGGCCCAGGACACAGATCGATAAATGTAAAAACTAACAATACTATCTATAAGCAACAGACGACGCTCCGTCCTAAATTATGGGCAGCGTTACAGGTCAAGCACATAGATTTGAAAGACCGAGGGTCATCAGGGAAGTAGAAAGCGACAAGAGCTTGTTCGTAAAAACCCTAAAAGACAGCTTAAAAGAACTTAAAGAACAAGCAACAGATAGTCCAAGGTCTGCGGCAAGAGAATTCCATATTCTACTAGTTCTGTTAAAAAATGACGTTTGAAAGATTGTTGTTTTGCAGTGCCTGATTAAAAATAAAGTGATCACCATGGATCGGGATTGCTAGTGTATCTAGTGATTCTTATTGGAGCACGAATCCGAGGAGAAACAGCTGGATTAATTTTAACACGCCCAGTTACGGCCTTAAAGAAGAATACCATGTCAAGATATTTGCGCCAGTATGTCAGGGGAAGCAGGTTTAATTGAATAAGCCTATCCTTATATGATTATTGACAATGAAATGGAAGATTGAGGATGTATTTTGAAGCTCGTCGCTGAATCCGCTCCAGTTTGCAAACCCGTTCCATCGATTGAGTGGCCCACACCAAGGTGGGACCTCACTAGCGTTAAATAGATGGATCGTCTAACAGACACGTTCTTAATACACCTGGTGTTACGCCGGACGAAACTTAACAAAGTCATCCTGTTAGACTTTGAACAGACCGCACAAACCTGTTTGTCCCATGAGAAATTGTCAGAAATGACAACAGCTAGGCTTTTTCAGCAGTGGAGATTCCAAGGGTATGATCATTCATTTCATGGCTGGCAATTACATGATTGAGCTTTCCAGTTATCCGTTACATTTTACCTTTAGAGTCATTAAAGGCCAGGCCAACAGAAGATGACCAAGAGGCGAGGTTCCTTAGGTCACCCTGCAGCAACTTGTTCCTTATTTTTTTTGTTGAAACTCCTCGGATATTTAATTAAAACCCATGCAGACTTTTCATAATTTGCCAAAGGTGAAAGGGCTTCGACATTCAATCTCAACGTGTTTGTAGCACATCATAACAAATAACGATTACGAGTCAATACACATGTAAAAAAAATGGAAAATAACTCAATGTAACCCTTACTTTAACGTGCAAAGAAACTGCACAACCTTAAAAATAAAATAAAGTCAATAAAGAAATGATAAAGATTAAAAAGAAGAAAAAAAAGAACATGGGTAGTAAAGTGAGTCTGTATTCATTATATTGATTCATTCAAATCACGTGAGAATTACATCATGACTATCACAGTCCACCATGATCACCATCTTGTATCTGACTGTACATGTCGGCTGCCATCTTGAATTCGGCCGGAAAAAAGGTTAAAATTATAAAACTATAAAGAAAACCATTCTATTTCGATCCAACATGTACTATCTTGGTTTCAAATGGACTGACGTGGCGAGCTCTTTAGTAGATTTAATACTCTCACCAAGTTAGACTCCGCATATTTTAAGACAAGGTGCTCGATTCCAATTATCTTACGAAGAAAATAGAGGACTGTGAACAGCTTATCGGAAATGTCTTGTGGATTTTTTAACTATAGTGTAATTAAGGCCTTACAAGGCTTAGTCACAGTGGCATCGCCAACCTGGGAGACAGTAACTACAATCAAAAATTGAAGTTAATCGCCTCCCTTATAATAGAGAGTTTTTTCTTTTGTTCCAATAAATTTGCATAGATGCTGGTCACGTGAGTGAAAATAACGCTCAATACTGCCTAGCTCTGTTTTTTCTTCTCACTATTGTTTTATGTTAAAGTTATTTGAATAACTAGTTGATTAAATGAAATTGACCTTGAAACTTATGAGAGCATTTTTTTATTTGTTTGTTTCTGCTCTATTTTCTTCTCGTTTACCTTTTCAGTGTCATTTGCATAAGCGGTTGTTTTTAAAGCAAAAAAATACGCTTGGCAAATGGCATTAATCAAATTTTACTACCTGAACACTTCTTAAACACTTTTTGAATGATCCAATTTAGTTAAGAAAGTAGATAATTTTTTTTAAATATATCTTAGTCTCAGTATAAACTATGTTGGAAACTACGTTTCTTATCCACCACCTTCGCCCACCGGCGACATCTGCTTCATCCTCTATCCGCTTAATCTCTTCCCTCAATTTAGTCAATGGAAGATTTTGTATGGAGCATATAAACGTTTCTTCATTGCAAAATTTTACCAGTCCAGGTGGAAATATTCAAACAAAAAGATAAATTATTTATAGCACCATTAGTGCCATTTAGTTATCATCAAACAATAAAAAAAATAATTTATCATCATTAGTGCAAAGTAGTGACAAACAATAAGACGAATTGTATATTAACGTCATTAGTGAAGAGGAGGACGGATTTAAATGTGCCTTACTCTTTTCTTAGAGATGCTTCTAACATCTTTTTCACGAAATGAGCTAGGGTCCTAGCCGTCAATTTGCTTTGAATCAACACAATTTCTAAATCCCTACCGAAGTTTTCAAAGTAGAGAGAAAAATTCGCTTGGTAAATATTTAACATATTTTGGCCTTGCCATCATTGTATCATAACACAAACATCATCATCTCTCTCTCTCTCTCTCTCTCTCTATTTCACTTAAAACATATCTAGGATAATTCATCGTGGATCTTGCGAAGAAATGCTTGGAACTCAGTTTGCTTTTGGAGTGAAACAACATAAGTGAAATTTGAAAACGTAAGTAGTAGCTCAAACTGTTTTGTCATAGTTTAGTTGGGGATACATTAAGGTACTACAAATACAGGGCCGATACTTTTGTAAGTTCTTCTGAAGAGAAAGTTCTTTAATTATAACAGTTGTCGTGCATACGAAACAACAAAAAATTGAAAGGAAACTTCAAGGTGTTCTAACAAAACTATATATTTTTACATGCAGAGAACATCTTCAGCAGTAAAATGGTCATTGACAGCGAAATCACAGCGTCATTTGGGAATATCTCAACTTCCAAAAGTGCAGTCTACACTTTTACACCAGCGGGATTTACAACAAAACTTGCACTGGTTTTACCGATGCTAGTTGTTGGTGTGGTGGGGTTTATAGGAAATGTCTTAATCGTCTCCTTTGTGTCCTGGAAAGAAAAAACACTAAGCCGCATCGAAAGTAGCCGCTTTGTAAAAACGTTTAATTTGTTTGTGAGAAGCTTAGCTATTTCTGACATCCTTTCCACTTCAGTGTCACTGCCACTCACCTGCATCCAGATTTGCTTCGATGTTTTTCAGACTGACTGGACATGTAAGGCAGTTCGCTTTGTCAATATTGTATTCCCCATTATTACTATTCACAATCTAATGGTGATAAGCATCGAGAAATATGTTTCATTGAGGCGAGTGCCTCGGCCCTTAAGTTCATCAACTGTTCGCAGATCAATTTTCCTGGCCTGGTTTCTTGGGTGTATAAATACTCTCAGTGCCGCTGCAACTTTTAGGGGAATAAGGTATGACCTGAATGAAACGCACTTCACAGTCATTTGTAAGTATGATAAAGCATATTTTCCATTTCGACTCCTTTTTCTTTCGTTCACTGCAATCGAGTATATTTTTCCCTGCATATTTCTCATGATCATAAATATCTCGTTAATTAAAACTGTTTGGGTAACAGTTAAAACCAGGGTTTCCGTTGACTTAAATTACCCAATGAGGAGTAAAATGCGAGCTGCAAAAATCCGGGGAACCCTTCTTCTTATTGTAATTACGTTTGCTTTCATTATTCCCTACTTTTTCTACTTTGGCTACGTGGCATATAACATGATCGCCAAACCAGATATAACCTTCCAAACCGATTACATAATTCGCTACGGAAGCGGCGTGATTGCCTTTGCAAACAGCGCAATTAATTTTTTAATTTACGTTGTACAAATGAGGGATTTCAAAGTGTTCTTTCAAAAACGCTTCTTTGGTGGTAATACTGCGGCTGATAAAAATGTCTCTGTTTTACAGCAGATGCAAAGTTTTAATAAAATCCACAACCTTAGGCCACGAAATGNGGTGTGGTGGGGTTTATAGGAAATGTCTTAATCGTCTCCTTTGTGTCCTGGAAAGAAAAAACACTAAGCCGCATCGAAAGTAGCCGCTTTGTAAAAACGTTTAATTTGTTTGTGAGAAGCTTAGCTATTTCTGACATCCTTTCCACTTCAGTGTCACTGCCACTCACCTGCATCCAGATTTGCTTCGATGTTTTTCAGACTGACTGGACATGTAAGGCAGTTCGCTTTGTCAATATTGTATTCCCCATTATTACTATTCACAATCTAATGGTGATAAGCATCGAGAAATATGTTTCATTGAGGCGAGTGCCTCGGCCCTTAAGTTCATCAACTGTTCGCAGATCAATTTTCCTGGCCTGGTTTCTTGGGTGTATAAATACTCTCAGTGCCGCTGCAACTTTTAGGGGAATAAGGTATGACCTGAATGAAACGCACTTCACAGTCATTTGTAAGTATGATAAAGCATATTTTCCATTTCGACTCCTTTTTCTTTCGTTCACTGCAATCGAGTATATTTTTCCCTGCATATTTCTCATGATCATAAATATCTCGTTAATTAAAACTGTTTGGGTAACAGTTAAAACCAGGGTTTCCGTTGACTTAAATTACCCAATGAGGAGTAAAATGCGAGCTGCAAAAATCCGGGGAACCCTTCTTCTTATTGTAATTACGTTTGCTTTCATTATTCCCTACTTTTTCTACTTTGGCTACGTGGCATATAACATGATCGCCAAACCAGATATAACCTTCCAAACCGATTACATAATTCGCTACGGAAGCGGCGTGATTGCCTTTGCAAACAGCGCAATTAATTTTTTAATTTACGTTGTACAAATGAGGGATTTCAAAGTGTTCTTTCAAAAACGCTTCTTTGGTGGTAATACTGCGGCTGATAAAAATGTCTCTGTTTTACAGCAGATGCAAAGTTTTAATAAAATCCACAACCTTAGGCCACGAAATGCTCCATGTGTCACAGATATACCAGTGACATGAATTGGTAGAAAGTAATTAAGAAATTCTAGCAAAAAAGAATTAGAAGTTGTTCTTCTTTAAAATATGTAAATAAAAGTAATTTATTCTGTTTATTCTCCCTTGGATGGATAGGCGAAATAAACAAGGCACTCACGTAAATCGATTTAGTCAGTTCATCTTTAACTAGCTGTTTGCCTTTTGTGTGAATTAAGTGGAATAAATAGACTTGATTATTTAAAAGAGAGAGCAGTTTTCGTTTTACTTTTTACCCACTAACTTGAATTCCGTGTTCTTAGGTAATGGATTCACCTGCTTTTGTGCACTGCAAGCAAAGCAAAATTGTAAACTGAGCAGTTAGGTTGATTGGTCTGATTTCATGAGGTATTATAAAAATTTTCATGCAGAATCATTACGATCAATGATATATTTTAATATCAGCGAGCGGCATCTTTAAACAGTAAAAGATGAATTTTATTCCAATTTTTTTGACAATGAAACTGTAAAACATCCATTCAATATGTATAAGCAGAATAGCGCCTGTCTACAGCCGTCCACGCCTCTCAATTAATTGCAAAATCGGGGAGGGGGCGGTTGTACACAGGCTAGACGAACACAATGGTATGCGTATATGTTTCCTGAAGCAAAATTATCATAACTAATATACCGTTAGAGAGATATATAATTACCGGTCCTTTACGACAAGAAGTGTGACTACGTGATGAGAACAAACACAATCACCTGGCATACTTCACTTACATCCCACGATTATTTAATTACTTTCTTGGGCAGCTGCTTGTAAAGTAAGGTATGCCTTCCTCGCTAGTATAGCGGTCCAGTCCCTTTTCAATGGATTCATGTCCTTTGAACTTTTTTGCGTTGTACACAGGTCCAAATGCACGACACAAAGTCACTTTTGACTCCTAAATCTGACCTGGTGGCTATTTTCCCAGAACTCGGACAAGTGAACCTGATCACAGGCTTTTTGTTTTGTGCGTGCAGGGATAATTTATCATCGCGAGAACCTCCAATAAAAGCTAAAATATAATGCAGAAGACTGACTACTCAGGGACTAGTTATGAAGCATTTCTGACCAAAATGGTGCCCCCTCTGATAAGTTAACATACATAATTCCGTCTACCTACATAAGCAGCGTAGTTAACGACGGAGTGACGTTTTAACGGATGACCCTTTTATCAAAATACCTCAACAGCAGTTTTCCGAACCACACACTCAAACTTGTAAAAATCCTCTGTTTTGGAAGAAGTGAAAGAGACATCCCAGGATAGACCGTTCTAGGGAATATCGCCCCTCGCCGTTCGGGCAAATAGAATCCTGACCAAAAGGTTCTGGTACACCTCCTCTTTTTCGGGTGTACGTAATTTGACGCTGAGGGTTTTGAAGCTAACCCGGCAAAACACAGTCATAAACACCGCCTTAACAAGATTTTTGCCCATTCCCTCGGAACAAAGTTGACCTGTAACACCCGACGCTGTTCAGGGGGAAGGGGGTCAACTTGAATTGTATTTTCCTCACCTGAAACACAAAGTGTCTCTAACCTTCTGACCACAGGAAGAACACGAGTGACATCACAGTGACCCTCTAGTCGCGCGTAAAATGCCGGTGGTCAGACATTTATTAAGTATCTTTACTGAAAACCGCTGTATGTCAGACGCATGAGATTAGGCCGGTGTCTCCTGTCTGCCACGGGCATGGAAGGTAAATTATAGTGCCAGTGACGTCAGAGTAGAAGAAATAAGGGACTTCACTAGATACGCAGGAATAGACTCGTTTAGTTTATTGCAAAAACTAATGCTGGTGCAATTGATAACCAATCAACAAGATAGATTTCAATCGAAATAATTTATCATATATTAAGGGAATTAAATTTACAACTAAATCTTATCGAACAAAAAACAAAAAATACACCGTTATATCTATAACGTTTTTCGATATGATTGGTTTACCTCAACTGATCGCCTAGCATCATCAATAGTCTCAAGTTCTATCAGTCCCGCCTTAATATAACGCAGAACTGCCCTAATGTCGTGAAAAAACTCCTAGTTACAGCTTCCCGTTATTCACCATTGTTCAGCGTAATATTTTACGCCTGTGGCCATAAAGTTCGAATTTTATGCAGTCACGGTATAGACTGCAGGCTTCCGTCTTTCATTCAGTTTTGCGCACACACACTCGTGACGAATAAGAGGGAGTGTGCGAACTGTAGGAGAAATTAGGAAGGGGCAACAGAAAATGCATCGTAGCTTTTTTCGCAGTCTACAAGTTTGCAGTTTTTGAGCTACTTAGTAAGGCCGTCGACAAAATCGAGAGAAAATACTTTGACATATAATAATTATTGCCTCCGAGAAAAGCAGTTTGGGTAACCGAAAAGAAAGATAAAAGTAATGAAGGGAGAAGGTATTCAAAAGACCCGAAAATTTAAGAAAAATTTCCAGATCACGATATTTGTTAAAAATTACACATTTCACAAGTTTTTTTCTGCTTTCCAAAAGAACCTGGGATTTCTCACATTTCAACAGCTTACCAAGCGATGGATTTTTACACTTATTGGAATTTTTCATCCTCTACTAACTGCTATAACCTCAACAGAAGACCTCTCGTTCCAGTTCCTCGATGCTTAATTCACCCAGTTCCTTGTAAATCTTGCTAGACTTTCGCATTACGTCGTGATTGGAGCTTTGCCCTTGAGGTCTGTTTTCATTTTCTGCAAAAAAGTGTAAACTAAGTAAACCTTGGTGGATAAAAAAGGGTAAACAAGGAGAAAAACTGACGTAACATTTTATTGTCAACGCCAAAGTTCTTTAAGAAGCCTTTTCGATGATAAACACAGGGGTACGTTTCTCTATGCCACTGAGAATAACCGACCCCGACTCCAACAAGTCTGCTCTCACTTAAGACTTATATCCTATAGAATGAAATAATTGGTGAAAATTCATGAGACCAAGTTCACTTAATTTTAGTACAATAAAAAACCTCTGGCAACCAAGGTAAAATAGCGAGTAACAGTTATTGATGTAATACAAGTGACATACGATGAACTGAAAGAAACCTATGGCGAATTTATTGCCCCATGAAAGGGGATATAAGACAGTCTAGAAATTCTGGATTCCACGCTGTGGATTCCGAAAATTAAAGGTACTGGATTCCGGATTCTTTGTCAGTGGGACTTAGATTCCGGATTCTAAACGTTAGTGGGATTCCGAATTCCAAATCCCAGGATTCCCGATTGCACGACACAAATTTCCTGGATTCCGGATTCAACAAAACACATTTCCTAGATTCTGGATTCCACAAGCAAAATTTTCCCTGATTCCGGAATCCCTTACATGGGGCGACATTTACGATATTCTCATTCTTCCTCTCTTTTTATGCTGATGTCTCGACAGTTCTTACCTACACTTATCCCACTTTTGTCGGGTGGATTATGGTGCTCCTCAGCCTGAAAACTTCTGAAACTTTCTGTATTTGGTGTGCCATGAGGGGAAACCAGGACAGTTTCTGGTAAGGAGAAAGTAAAATCAGATTCCGAATAGCTCTGAATTCCACCTAGCTGTTCCCCGGCTAGATTCACGGAATGCCTGTGAAACGGCAAGTCAGCTGTCCGATAACCCAAATTGTCAAACTTGTAAAATAGATTCGTGTTTGAAGTTGAACCATTGGCAAATGACCGAGAACGCAACTTTGTGCGTGAAAACGAGGTAGTAAGAGTTCTTTCTATAAAGGAACGACTCCTTGAAAATGGAAGGGAAGATCTCGATGTGAAGCGGTCGGGCAAAACAGTTGTCTTTATACCAGAGTTTGTATTAACTGGAAAATGTGTGACTTGAAGAGTCTGAGGCCCTGTCTCCTCAAGGGGGCCTGGTGACGAGAAACAATCGGCTCTTTTTTCCGTAGACTTTGCTTCTGGACTTAATTCCAATGCATTTTCCCCTTCAAAGTCTTTAGATAATGCTTCTGATGTTACATCTATAGCGCTAAGGGACAACTGGTTATAATCAGTCAGAACATCTGCTTTAGATGGCTTTACATCCTGTTTAGCTTTCTCTGTCACGGCAAAATTTTGTTGTACACTTTCACCATTTTCACCTTGTGAATCGCGAGATAACTGACTGTTCTCTAAAGAGTTATCGTTGAACAATTCTGGTGTCTTGCACATGAACGGATAAACTAGAGAAAAGAACAAGAAAGAAAAATAAGTGAACAAAGACGTTTAAGTATAGTTACAGCCTAGTAAATATACAGTCAGAGCCGGTTAATACGGACACTGAGGGGGCCATAGAGAGTGTCCGTATTAACAGGGTGTCCATATAAAGCGGTTTGAATTTAGAGAAACTGTAAGGGCTTTCTTTCCTCGGGCACAAAGCAAACTGTTCGTAATAATAAGGTGTCCACAAAGCGGGGTTTAACTGTACTACCATGTACGAAAGCTAAATAGACTTGTCTAATGTTTTAAATTAATTTTCTTAGCCCTTTTCACCTGTAGGTTTTTGAAAAGGAGAAAATTGCGTGCGCTTGACAAATACGTGGACATTCTGGGTTGAAGAGAACACCTTTCGTACCCACTCTACCGGCTTTTATTTCCCTCTAGCATCACACTAAGTCCATTCCCAAATAAGGCGTTGAACGGACTATTATGTCAGAGTATGATTATCATACCTGAGACAGCGGTTTTTCTCTTTCTTTTGCTTGAACTGGATCGTGTGTCGCCGCAAGAAGATTCATCTTCAAAAGCTGCGTCCATCTCTGGCGAGATTATGACTTTGTTTTCATCACTATTTTCTTGCGTGTAACAGCCATATTTGTCACTGGAAGGTAAATCAGAGGTTTCCTGTTTTGGAGTTGTTTTACCAGCGGACAGACGCACCATGGATCCAGCTTCCTTCTTCTCTTCAGGTGACGGCAATGCAGCTTGATTTGCTTCGACCTCGTCTTTGAAAGAAATGCGCTTTTTACATAGACGAGGCCTTTCCTGGACTCCGTCAACAGTGGTGCAATAATAGCTTTCGGTTGTGCATGGTTCCTTTTCATAAGCGGAGTTAATAAGGCCACCCTGATGGTATCCAATGCTGCCTCCATCAGGAACAATGCCAGAATCATGATAACTGAATGAAGGATTGCTCGTGACTCTAACCACCGTTTGATCTGTGGTCGGTGTGGCTGGTTCTACATCAAAACTGCGCCGTGAACCTTGCGAAAGCCTTCGTGCAAGTATCCATGGATCTGGAAGTCGAAAAAACAAGGTAGCGGACCTCATAAGATATGCTTTGCAAACAAAGAACATGTTTTCAAGAATCAGTGCGGCAACGTAAGTACAACTAAAAAGACCATACTTTCTAATGAAAAGAAACTTGTCTCTCTTCGATTCGTGATCATTTTTAAAAAGTTAAAGTTTAAAGCGCCCTTCAAAGACCCGTTGCCTTGACAACAACAGTCGAACTTCTACTAACGGCCACCTCTCTACAATGGCCACTTTCTATTGTCCCGGCGAAAAGTCCATACATTGACTCTTTTTTAAACCTCTCTACAAAGGCCACATCTCTACCACGGCAACGGCCACTAAAGCGTGTCCCCAACTGAATGTTGCAGGAGACGTTTTGAGATCAGAGTCAATAGTTTGGCAGGGATTTTTCTTAGAAGGCTTAAAGGTATAGATACCATTCGCTCTCAGATGAGAAAATGTAAAAACGCCTGGTAGGAAAAGGGGCTTAGACGTCTTTTTTTTTTGTACCCCGGCCGTCTACCTTATACCCTGGGTGCCAGAGACTTTCCATGCGAGGTTTCCGGTTTCGGTCAAGTCTTCTCGCTCCTCCTCGCACGCGAGAAAAAACCTCTGGTACCCAGGGTATCTACCTTAAGGCTATATTCACAATATTCTGGAAAGCTTTTGCGCCGCCATGAAAACCATACCGGTTAGGGCTTCTGTTCACACACAAGAACTGTGTTTTATGCGCGGTTTCTGTGACGGCGCAAAGCTGCGCCGCGACGATCTCGAAAGTGTTGCGTCACAGTACATATTGGAGAGGTTTTGTGCCATACTTTGCTGCAGCGTGAACATCTATTACTACAGTCGAGGAAGTAGATAAACAGGAGCGAGAACTGGAATTTAGTGCACCAAACGTTAACCTTCTCGGCCAAACTCGATGGCACAAAGTTGGGTGTGAAAGACTTGTGCCGTTTCGGATAGCTTTCCACGTGGGCACGAAAATTATCTGATATAGTGTGAACATAACCTAAGTTTGAGGATGATTATCAGGTTAAAGAATTATGAACATACTGTCGGCTTGGTAGGATGAACATAAACCACAGCAGTGAAAAATCTTGCAAAGGATGAATATATATCCTTTTCTATATGGCTTGCACATGGCGGCGCCGATTAATGGATTGAGAACTGAGTTAATAACAGCCAACCGCATTGACCAGAAATGAGCTTCTGGTGGGATTTGGAACCAACCACTCACATGCTGAAGAATAACAATCTGAAAAGACAAAGGCAAGAATCAACTCAACTTAGCCAAAAAGATGTAAGATGTTGTTACACATGAGAAGTCACCATCTATCATTAGAGACCTTTAGACCTGTTGTTAATCCTCTAACAAGTTCTCTCCACTAATAATAGCATACGAAAAGGATAAAGGGTTAAAAAAACAAAACAAAGCAAAAACTGCAATAAACGTTACAGCGCTCTTTGTACTTAAAAAACTACGCTTTGAACCGGACCTATCACATTTTTTGGGGGATTTCGATCCCTCTAACCGCCGAGGCTCCTGTGGGGATAGTAAGCGCCTGGGAGCTTTTCCCCTACTGACCGTCACTCGCAGGCTTTCCCAATACCCAGTTCCCGGCCAGCCTCTCCCTGACATAAAAAAAACTTGAACGAAGGAGAGGGGATTTCGATGACTTTAGCTAACCTACAGCTTTCGTCGCTAAAGTAGCCTAACCCACCAGAAGGCGCCGGGGGTGGGGGGGGGGGGGAACTCCCTTATAAAAGCAAATAGGGTATGGGCCGCCCCATCGGGTAGTGTTTTTGTGCCGTTTTGTGCTGAAAATGGGTAAACACTTTGCCCCATCTTGCTCGGGCACAGTGAACGCCGCGCGCGGCGCAGGCCCCCCCCGTCACACTCTCCCCCCCACCCCCCCACCCCCCCCCCCCCCCCAACCCCAACTCCCGGCAACAACTACCAAGAAAAAAAAAAAACAGGAAAGACAGGAGAGCGATACGCAGGGCTTCACTGAAAACTGACTGCTGAGCAGAAACGCCAGGGGGCCGAGACGGGGGGGGGGGGGGGGGGGGGGGGGGGGTACTCCCTTATATAAGCTATATAGGTATGGGCCGCCCCATCGGGTAGGGTTTTTGCGCCGTTTTGGTCTGAAAATGGGTATACACTTTGCCCCATTTTGCTCTGGAATCGGGTGTGGTTTTCGAGGGAACTACGGGAGTGTATGAACGTATTTATCGTTTCAATTCCAACTGAGTAAGAAAGATAGAGAAATATGCGCATTCAAAATGGATTTAAAGAATTTTCTTTGTTTGCACTCTAATCTAAGTAATAAAGGCCAGGTCTGAAAACGGGTGTGGATTTTAGAGCTCTGGTCTGAAAATGACATTTTTGGTCTGAAATAGAGTCAGGATTTGGAGAACCGGGCGGCACACCCTTACCAAGAATTCCCAGGAGTAACCCCCCGCCCTCCAGGCTATGGCGCGGGCTTTGTCCAACCCTTCCTGAACCTGGCCGTTTGAAAAAGGGACACATTTGACAAACCAGTACCCCTTCCTTTACTCCCGAAATGCTGGCTAAGTACCCTGAACGCTTATTTTGCCCTTAGCTTGTTTCTTTTCCCATCCTTTCTACGGCGATAAGATCACCCTACGTGCAAGTTCTAATTATTGCTTTCACAAACAAGCTGTATAAAACCAAGCCAGTATGATGGTTAAAGAAAGGCCTTTCTCAGATTGCGATCACTGCTGCTTTAAACAAAGTCTACAAGTATCTGGCTGAAGAATCCCTAAGCTAATCCGGCGGTGAATGCTATGGTCTTGTGATCATTACGATATCATTCCGGAAACCAATTACCCATCAACCTAAACAGAGAAAAGACTGATCCGACTAGAATGTAGTGACATTCACGTATCTTTTCCCTTAAAAATGGTGAGCGGTGTTATGATTGAAAGGAAAACCACCGAGAACGAGGTCGGAGACCATAAATCGAGAATATTATTGACCTATAAAAAGTATCTGGCATGATCTAGCGGCTCTGAGTGTACGAAAATGGAAAAAAACGTGATTCTCTTGGACGAAAAAAGATAACATGTCATAGGATTTTATCATTAGAAAAATATTTTGTTTCTAAGTTCAACAGCCAGAAGTATAAGCCAAAAATAACTCTTACTCTGATATGATATTTGCGGCTAATTGCATTCCATTTGTTCCGCGCGCAAACAGGAACGTTACAGGTAAACAGAGAGAAAATACACATAACTCATGCAGTTTTCAGTATATTAAACAACACGGAAGTGGAATCGATTTTCCAATCGACTTCGCATAACAAGAAACGCGATGACCAGTTAAGGATTTGATTAAAAAGAGTTATCAACAAAAGGGACAATTAATTTTAAAAGTGCTTTCTAACCAAACAGATTGTTATGCACGAAATCACTTCAAAATTTCAAAAGTGTTTGTTTTGTCAGAACGCGACAGATGAATTACCTTCAGTGGTTATTGGAGCCCTTTGCAATGACAATTTGAAGTAAGGATTAATTTAAAACCCTGAATTCTTTCTGCGAATTGCACGAATTGCTACCTTAACAAAAGCTATCTAACAAGTCAGAAAACCAAATTCTTCAGATTGAACAGCACTAAAGCAAAAAAGAGGAAAATAAACGTTATATATGAAAAAATAATCAACCCAGTTTCTAATGTTCAGCGCTCGCGTTCAGCGTTGTTAATGATTACACGCTTTTCGATTTCATGTTATGGTTATGGCTTATATTCTTTGAACATTTTATACGTCGCCTTTTCACTTTCACACACACTTCTTACTGTTGATGTATTCTTTGTATCTTTTTACGCATTAGTTTTACAAGATAAGTTCGTCTTATCATGTTGTCTCCTTGTCGGGTCTACGTCAGGCGACATCCATTTTTGCACGCATGCAAATATTTGTATCATATTTTTCAGAGAAAGAATAAGTTGAATAAAAGTCGATAAATTCCGACTAACACGCTACGCTAGCTGGATACTATCAAAGGTCATAGCTTGCAAAACTAAAACTAAAGTTTTACGGTTAATTGTCAGCGCCAGAAATCACGAATTTAATAGGACATTACAGGGTGTCAAACACTCAGGCGCAGAATTTTTAGAGCACTGCTGTCGTTTAAATCATGATAAGTATGCTTCCTGAATTATGAGAGTCATTTAAGGAAAGATAAAAATAATATCACATTTGAGCTCAAAAGCCTGACAGAATAACGCAAAAATGTTTTATACGAGCATGGACAGAAACAGCTGAGTTCAAGGTCACATTAGTACACCTATGTAAAAAAGATAAATAAGGACTTAATATGTTCTCCACACGACTGCAAAACGCAGAAGAACACTTGACAAATGACAGAAACGTATAAATTGATTGCAACTTACCAAGAAGAGAAGCCAAGAGACGAAAAAAATCATCATCATTACGATCATAAGACGCGCAAACATGCTATTCATAGCTTGCCTCTTGCGATCTGCTCCATCAAGGTCCGGAGTAGTGGTGGACATCCTTCGCTGACGCTTCATCAGGCCTTTTATGCTAATCATGGCGCATGTGTAGCAAAACACAACCACCACAATCATAGCCATGCCAAGAGAGAGCACAAAGATACTGTATGCTCGGTTAGCAGGTTTGGTGGAATCGAAATCAAAATGGCAGAAGCTTCCATTGCTGTAGGCTCTCATTTTTCCAATCCCCACCAGTGGCAGAAAAGATTGCGTCCCACTAAATACAAAAACAGCAACGATTGTGTAAATAAGTCGTTTTTTCGAGAGCAAACGTTTGTACTTATACGCCAATGGCCAACACAAGGCGATATATCTGTCGATGGCCATAACAGTCATGACCATCATGATTCCACAGTTGAGCGTGAAGGCAGTCCAGCCAAATATTTTACAAGAAGCAGAGCCTTCTGTCATTCCTTTCTCGCTGAGGTAAGCGTACAAAGTCATGTTCAATGGAACTAACGCTTTTAGTAAGTCCGCAATCGCAAGACTAAGGATCAGAATATCTGGATTGTATTTCCTTTTGAAGCGCAAAATAACGATGATGGCGAGGATGTTCAGAAAGATAATCACCACCGCGAGAAGGAGCAGTGAATAGCCTTCAGTTTTTCGGACCATTTTGAGTTCGTTGGTCTGTGATCCCTTGTTTGATCTATCCGATCCAATTCAAGCCTGTCAAGTTTACTGGCAGTAGTTGTCCTAGAAGAGTAAACACAATCTTTGTTTGAGGTGACTGGTCCATCTTACTAAGTTCATCTGCGGCGTGCCCAACCGGAAGTTATCCTATCGATTTTTGGGACTTTTTTTGTGTTCTTAAAGCAATTTGAGCCTTTAAGGCAACAATAACTGAGTGACAGAATCCGAGTAACGCTGCTGCTCCCATCTAGGTTTTTTATTTACTGTTTAGTGGTTTCAGCCAATCATTAAGACGAAACAACATAAAGTTGCTTAATGATAAGGCATAACAAAAGAAAAAGCAACAAAAGGCCGACAATTCTCTTCGAAACCGGATTGCCAGCTCTGTGACGGTCGGGCAGGTCCTCTTTCATCACGTTGGATCTTGTTCTTCAGAAGTGTTAATTAGGAAGTCACACATGGTATTGTGCTCGTAGCAAGAGAATTCTGGTGTTTTCATTCCTAGATGAGTAGGACGCCATTCAATTTTAACGTTTCACGTAAATATTGACATTTAATCGAGAATCTTTCAATATCTTTTATATCATAAACAATGGTATTTCATTTGATGCAGTATTTATGTACGGAACAAACAAATCACGGAGGTCTTGAGCTGAGTCTTGATGCTGTTGATATTTGATTATTGAAAAGCCATGTTGTACATGTTGTGAGGAATGTTTTGACAGACGGCGCGTCTCATCGTTTGAGAAAAATGACCCCTTTGATCACAAGGGCCCATAGGAAAATTTCCATACTCCAGCGTTTTATAAGGCGAATTTTTGAAGAGTCGTTTTGTCTTGCTTTGTGAAGCCTTCAGGGTAAACCTTATTTTTAAGATACTGGAAAAGATTTCTATATTTAGCGGAATCCATCTCTAAAAGGTTTTCGATTTTCCCGCGAAATCCAAAATTATTTTGGAGGGGATGACCAAAACACTAGGGATTTGGGCATCCCGGGAGGATACCGGGGGATGCCCAAAACGCTGCAGTAATATGAGAAGGGGATGCCCAAAACGCTAGGGATATGGGAATGGGGATGCCCAAAACGCGGGGGTGCCCAAAACGCTGTGACACCGCCAGCTAGTCAGGTTAAACAAAAATGGCCTCTGTGATTCAGGGATAGGTACCTAAGCAAGAGGGCCTGTTAAACTGAAACTGTGCTGCTTTCGTTGTGACTGAAAGTGAAGCCTTACTTACAGCTTCCAAAAAAAAGAGAGAGAAGAAAAACTCTTGAAAAGGGCCTGGGTGCTAGTTTATTTTTGGTGGGGCCCAGTCCTATCATCACACCAGCTTCTAGTTAGTTTTACCACCATTTTGAACATTCAGGAATACTTTCTCCCGCAATCTACTGTAAAAAACAAGGTTTTTTTTGGAGCATAAAGGTAAACGAATTTTCTTCCCTTTTTGTTCAAAAGTAATACTTAAAAGATGGAAGATGTAGAGTTTTTAAACGTCCGTGTTTTAAGTTACAGTTATGAAAACGGTTTTGTTTTAATAGCAACTGTATTTAGGTGTATTTGTCTCAACCTTGGGAAGTCATAAATCAGGTAGATGTTTTAAAACAAGAATCTATTCTTCTATGTATGGCTAGCCACTCGCCGTGGAAGAAGGTCCAAGCTAAGTCAGTAATCTGTGGTGTACGCTCGTGTACATTCACCTCTAATCAATTTATGATTGCATGATTGCAATTTATGATTGCTCAAGTTAACTTGAGCATGCAGTAAGTTATTATGTGCACAACGAGAGAAAACAGCCAACATTTTGTGATGCCACCACTGGTTTGCCTAGGAATGAGTAGGCACAGAAATTCCCATATTGATGGTGTGTCCCTGCCTAGTTCATGTTCATGTTCATGTTCTGATTGGAAGAAGCAAATTTTGCTTGTGGTTAACCAATCAGAAGCAGATCTGGTTAGTGATGAGTCATCAGTATGGAATTTTTTGACATCGTTTCTCAGAAGTCATTTCTGGGAAACCGGCGATGGCATTGCGAAATATCAGCTGTTTTCTCAAGCTATGTTCACATCATAGGGAGCCTGGAACAGGCCAGTCACTCTCAATCTTTCAATAAAAAGTTGTCATGAAAACACGGTGAAGTAAGAGGAGGCATTTTATGTCTAGCAATACCAGGATACTTTGAGCGAGTCTGTTGCATTTCACCATAGTCGAAGGCATTGATTTGACACCTCATGGCGTGCAGACCTCTTTTTCGCCGCTCCGGATTTCTGTTTATTCTTATCGCTCTTTGGCCTTTGACATTCTTTAAACATGGATATGATGGTTACCATGAAGCTTCTTTGGTCAACAGCTGTGCATTTGGAAACGATATCGCTGAGAATAAAGCAAGTAACTTTGCTTCTTGTCTGTGGAACCACAATCGTCTAATTATCCGTATTGCACGTGGGAAAGGTTACTTCTCTTCGAGAATCAACTACCACTCTTGTTCCGTCTCAGGCTTACATTTAATTCGCTTATTTATCAGTGGAGATGTATGTTTAAACCCTGGTCCTGGTAAATATGAAAATTGTGGCCAAGCTACTACGAGAAACCATGGCTGTTTATCTGCATTCTGTCGAATTTCATCTATCTACAGCATGGCTGGACATAATAAACCTCGTCCAAGGCGCAGTGGTGTTAATTTTAATAATCTTATAACCATTCAGCATGCCGGTGCTACTCAAGCGGTGCGTTCGGTTTGTTTCGCTTCGCTTTATTGAATACTCGTTCCATCAGGAAGAAGGCTATGTTTTTGAAAGACTATGTGGTTGAGAATCAAATAGACCTGTTGGCGATAACAGAAACTTGGCTAGACTTGAATAATCAACAGACGGCGAACATTATAAATGAACTCTGTCCTCTGGGGTTTGCGTTTATGCATATTCCTCGAATGAAAA